GAAAATCCTTAATAAGAGAATGGAAAAGAACAACTTAACATTCATTTGGGAGGGGAGAGGAAGGCTGAATGAGACCAAAAATAGCCTTGCCAGATCCTCGGGAGAAGGTGGGGTTCTTCGGCACGGCTGGGGGGAGAGGCGGGCACTGTTGGGGGGGGGAGCTGGGCGAGGTGGGGGTGCTAGAGCCTTCACCCCCATTCACGTGGGAGTGGGAAGGAGGGTCTTTCATGGGGCTGCTGCCCCCTCCCCATGTTTGGTCGAGGAATTTGGGGGAGGTTTGGTTAGCTCTGTGGAAGGACAGATGGAAGAGGCGCTAGTAATCTAAGCAGACTCTCGTCCCGCCTCTCCCCATTTTTTTTTCTTTTTGGGTCACACCTGGCAATTCACGGGTTACTCCTGGCTCTGCATTCAGGAGTTACTCCTGGCGGTGCTCAGGGGACCATATGGGATGCTGGGAATCGAACCCAGGTTGGCTGCGCGCAAGGCAAACGCCCTACCCGCTGTGCTATCTCTCCAGCCCCGCCTCTCCCCATTTTTACTGAGAAACTTGAGTGCAGGGGAAGGAAAGAGCTGACCCAAAGTTCTTTTTCTCATTTTGAGTCATACACAGTGATGCTCAGGGCTTACTCCTGTCTCTGCCCTCAGGACCTCAGGAATTAGCGGTGGTGGGGGGGGGAGGGGAACGACAACGGACCATATGGAATGCCAGGGATTGAACCCGGGTCGGCTGCATGCAAGGCAAACGCCTTCCCCACTGTAACCGTCACTCCGTCCCCAGGTTCATTGTTTAGACCAGACCAAGCTGGGAGAGGAAGCAGCACCCTGAAGGAGCTTATACCCCAGTGTCAGCACCAGAAGAGTCTCCAGGACGGAATTCTCGGGGGGGGGGGGGGGGGGGGGGAGGGAATGCACCGCCCTAGTCTGGTCTGAGCATTTGACCTACCCCACTGTGTTCTGTGTCACACAGGGCATGGGCATCAGGACCTGTGGGTCAGCTAGATGCATACATCTGGCTTCTACATCTCTAGGTCACCTTCTGTAGGTCTGTCCGTAGCTCTGGGTCTCGGTTTCCTAGACCCGAGCAAGTGACCTTTAGACCTGTCTCCATAGTTACCCTCTTAATGGCACCTGCATGACTTTACGTTTTTAGTAGGTTTTTTTTTTTATGGGGGGGGGGGGTGGGAGGCACACTGATTAGTGCTCAGGGCTTTCTCCATGTTCTTGCTTAGAGATCATTCCTGCCGGTGGTGCCCGTGGTACCATGTGGTACCAGGAATTGAACTGGAATTGGCTGCCTGCAAGACAAATGCGCCGTCCACTGTGCTATCTCTAAATATGTTATCTTACAGACATCTCGTGTCAGTCCCATGAGGTATGTCCTCGGAGTCCCGTTTGGCCATTTTGTGATGACAAAACCCGAGGGCTTTAGCAGGTATTGTACGTGTCTTCCATGCTGCTGCCCCGGGTTCACTCCCTGACAACCCATATGGTCCCCCGAGCACTGCCAGGAGAGATCCCTGAGTCCAGAACCTGAGTAGAGCTAGGTGTGCCCCCCGCAAAAACAAAACAGCTCAAAACTGGCAGCTTCGGGACTCAAACTACCGACCCTCCCGTGAGCTGCCACACCGAAGGGGGTAGTTGCTCTTGCATTTGGGAGAGTTCAGACAAAGCCAGCCTGCTAGTCCCTACTGTGAAAACGGGGTACCTTTAGCACCCTGGGTTTCGGTGGAAGCCGCCCATAACCCTTCCGGTAATGCTGGGCTCACCAATGAGCTCACCAGGCTCCACGCTGAGACTGAGATGCAGTAAGGCTGGTACATGCTGTCTTGGACAGCTCTTGCTTGAGCTCTCTGTCCAGAGATGCCCCGGGCATATCAGCTACCCAGGCCTGCCCCCCAGGAAGCACTTCCCTCCCCTCTCTTCGGGGGTTCCGTTTCCCCTGCACTGCCCCTGGCATCTCTGCAGAAGGCCATGTTTGGACAACTGCTGAAGCAGTTTCTTTTGTAGCATTTTGCCTCTATTTCATAGAAAAGGATGGAAATCAACAATGTTCCTAAGGGTGACACGAAGCCCTTTTGAAAGGTGAAGTATATCTGCCTCCCTCCCGCCCCCAACTCCTTTATTTACTTTCAAAGAACTGTTTTCCCTCCAACCAGCAGCCCCATGTTCACTACACTGGAGCTGGTCAACCCCGTGTGGAATGGTGAAAGAAAGGGACAAAAAATAAAAGAAAATTTAAAATATGCATGAAACGTTGGAAACAAATGCCCAGAGTCGGGTCTGAAAGGCGAGCGATCATTTGGGAATCTGCAGCAATTTCTAAATTCTCAGGGCAGAATTCCCTCTCCCCCGACATCACGTTTGTGGCTTAGCCGTGTGAATGTTCAAACAACTTCTTCCTGTTCGCTTGGCGGACACGGGTGGAGGAATGCGTGCAGGCCCGGATGGGTCCTGTCGCTTGCTCCCAATGAAACGATGTGCCAGCTGCTTTCTGCTTCCTCGTTGCTCCTCCGAAATACTCTGTCCCGTTAATACTCCCCTGACTCCTCCTTCCCAGCCTGGTTTCTCCACCTCCTCATCTCTCCTTGACCTTTCCACTGGCTTCCTGTGGTGTGTGTGGGGGGGGGGGGCGCGGGCGGAGGACTGGGCACGTCACTCTTAGCACCGCTTTGGTTCTCCTTTATATTGGCAGCAGAGAAAATATTCTAGCATTGAGCACGGGGTGCGGGCGGGATGTGTGTGTGTGTGTGTGTGTGTGTGTGGCAGGACTTTGGAGAGACGAGCGTGGGGCTTCTAGCTGTAGGATTTGGGGTAAAAGAGCTTAGTCCTTGGCCCCTCTGTCTTAACCCACAGTTGAGACGATGGCAGGAGAGGCTTTTCATGTCCATTCACTGGTGCCCGCCTGGCAGTTTGCGGGGAGAGGGTGGTAAAAGGAATCTGGCTGCCCATAGTGGCCGTGGTGGGCATTTGGTGTTTCGGCTCCCCCAGCTGGCTGGCACACTGCAGCTGGCCGCTGCTTTTAGAAGCTGAGTTGGGGCCCTCTTTGGGTACCATGCCCTCCTTTTTATATGTTGACAGTTTGACCATCCTCAGGTCTTGCCAGAGGCAGCTTCTGAGCGCTGAGAGAACTAGATCGACAGCTGGTTGGCTGCAGGTCAGAGGTTTCCAGACTTTTGGCTTACGGAGCTCCTTCCAGAAAAAAAAAAAAAAAAGAAAGAAAAAAATTCACTCACAGGGCGGGAGGGATATAGTACAGGGGTTAAGGCGCTGGCATTTTAGTTCTAACTTTAAAACGTGGTATTTGGATGTTTACGTGAATGACTAGATAATTCTGGATTATTTTTATATTCCAGGAATGCTATCTTTTAAACAAAATAAGACTGGTCATAGGGGCCAATGGTCGTAGTTCGTAGTGGGACACATGAAGCAGATAAAATCTGTAAGAAAACACGATCATTTCTTTAACGTGTCTTTCTGTTCCCAGAGATGTTAATGATATCAACTCACTTTTTTTTTTTTTAAGGAGTGGGTAACATCTGCTTGTGCTCAGGGCTTACTTCTGTTTCTACACTCAGGGCAAACTTGGGGGACCTTCTGGGGTTGCCGGGGATCGAACCTGGGTCAGCTGTGTGCAAAGCCAATACCTGAATCCCTGTACTACCTCTCTGGCTCTGAATACCCTTTTTTTTTTTTTGGAAAGCAAAGTAGGCCAAAAAGTCCGGGAACCTCTGACCGCAGTTCGAATCCCCAACACTGCGTCTGGTTCCCCCAGTCAACACTAGGGGTCACTGCTGAGCACAAAGCCAGGAATAAACTCTGAGCACTGCTGGGAATGATTCCCACCCCCAATCAAGAAACAAATTATTCATTGCCCTCGAAATCTCCCAGAAAGCCCCCCCACCCCCGAGTTGCACCCGAGGCTACGCCCCAGCCCCATCGACCCCAGTGCCTGGGTTCAGTACTGGCCATTCGGAGAAAGATGGTTACAGGAGCTTGGTTGGATCAGAGCCATCCAGGAACCGGAGAGGCTCAAAACCAGAAAGATTCCTGGGTACCGCATCACTTGCCCCGTGAGAGGAGAGGCTCAGGGATGTGCTTCCTCCTCGCACAGGGGTACTGGCCCTGGCAGGTTCCCGGAGAAACTGCAGCGTGCCCGAGCCCAGGGGGCTTCCAAATATAGCGCCCTCACACGCTTCCTCACCTGCCGGAGACAGGCGGCACTCTGGCTCTGAGAACGCTCGTGCTCCGCAGTTGGGAGCCGCCGCCGTTGGAGCTCTGATTCCTGTGATTGTAAATGTTATGACGGGTGCGGGGGGAGGATGCATTTCAAGTGGTGGGTCTGGGGAGTCAGGTGGTCTCCCCTACAAACAGCCTCTGCAGAGAGGTCCCCCCAGCACCCGCCTGGGTGGCGGTCAGGATCCCGGGGTCTCTTGGACCTCATGAGACATAGAGGCTGTTCCTTCTGCCTCTCCTTCTGCGCCAGGATTTTAGAGTTTCTAAAGATTCCGTGTGGTCAGCTTTATCTCCCGACCCCACCCCCCGACCTTAAAGACACGAACAATTGGCACATTCTGGCTTCCTGCGCCCACTTACTCTCAGGGCTGGGGGAACGGAATATTTTAACCTAACAAGATTCCCCCACCCCACCCCCAGTCACAGGAGTAAATCTGCAGCTACTGTTGTATTGGAAATCACAGCTGAAAATAAAATTGGGTGCCATCGAATCTCAGATTCTGCTGGTCCCTTACTTGTGCTCTGTGGGTGCTGGGTTTGCGTTGGCACTAGGGGCAGAGCTGCGTTTCAAGGCGCGGGCTGACGGGAGGCGGGGGGTGGGGGGTGCCCTGGCGCCCATTGACCGCTGGGTGGAGGAGGGCGGTGGTGTGCTTTCCTCTGCCGGCAGGCTGGTGTAGGAATCAGAGGCATGGGGCTGACTGTGGGATGGCATGGGGCAGCCCGGTCTCCCCACAGTGCTGATGATGGTGTTTTGGTTTATTTTATAGGCTGACGGAGCCAGTGCAGCTGGAAGGAAGAGCACGGCCAGCAGGTAACCTCCCCCGCCACGCGCGCGCGCACACACACTCACACACACACACTCATACTCACAGTCATACTCACACACACATATACTCTCACATTCACACACGTTCACACACACATTCACACACACTCACACACCCATGCTCTCATATTCACACACACACATTCACACACACATACTCACACATTCACACACCCATACACATTCACACACTCACACACATACATTCACACGCACACTTACACTCACACATAACACTCTCACACAGTCATACACACTCATACTCTCACATTTGCACACACTTTCACACACTCAGACACACAACACTCAACACTCACACACTTATACATATTCTCACATTCACACACATGCATACACACACTTAATCACATATTCTCACATTCACACACACTCACATTCACACACATATGCTCACTCTCATTCACACATTCTCTCACATTCACACACACCTTCACACTAACACACACACACTCTCATACACAGATTCTCACATTTTCACAGACAGTCACGCACTCACACACCCTATGGTGATCTCCTCCCACCTCTGAGGAAGGCAGCTCCCCATGCCTATTGGGGGTTGTGGGTGGCACTCTCTAGTCCTTGGTGTCTTCTGTGGGTGGATCCAAGGACAAGTCAATTCTGAACTGACCTTTGGCTGCCCAAGTGGTGGAGACCTTAGGGCTGAAGCCCAAAGCTAGACGGCAGGAAGTGGACAATGAGCTGATGCATTGCAGACTGGGCAGCAGCCAGGCCGCCCCCGGTCTGAACTTCCTTGGCAGGCTTGGGGCCCCCTGGGCCATCACTCAAAAGCAGGGTGGGGGGATGCAGGCCCATGAAGTGGGGGTCCCCCCACCACCAGCAGCAGCCTGGGGCAGGCTCTTGGTGCACAGTGCAGTGGTTGCCCTTCCCTTGGGTAAGGAAGGCCCCAGCTGCAGGTGGCCTTTCCTGGGACCTCTAGAAGCTCTGAGTTGAGTCTTATCAAGTTGAGCTGCTGGAACGAGGGGAGTGCCGAGATCCTTTAGTGATGCCTGGTCGGGATTTGGGCGGGGAGGAGGCGCCACTGTTCAGTCCCTGCCTCATCTCCTCTGGTCTTGAGTCAGTGATGGAGCAAGTGTCATTACCCTGGGCCCTGTGGGGACACCGGTAAGAACCACCCAACATCTGAGGGTCACGCGTGCCTCATGAGGCAGAGAGGAAAAACACTTGAGCCCATGGCTGCCAGTTCTATGGCACTTACATGTTGGACGCCAAGCAAACAGTGACATGGAACTCTGCTTACATGTTGAACAGATGTCATCCTTATAAACATTTGGGGCCGGAGCGATAGTACAGCGGGTAGGGCATTTGCGTTGCATGCTGCCGACCCGGGTTCAGTCTCCGGCATCCCATATGGTTCCCCAAGCACCGCCAGGAGTGATTCCTGAGTGCAGAGCCAGGGGTAACCCCTGAGCATTGCTGGGTGTGGGTGTGATGCAAAAAATAAAAAGTAGTTGGGACTGGGACAATAGCACAGTGGGTAGGATGTTTGCCTTGCATGCGGCTGACCCACGTTTGATTCCTAGCATCTCATATGGTCCCCCGAGCACCACCAGGAGTGATTCCTGAGTGCATGAGCCAGGAGTAGCCCCTGAGCATCGCTAGGTGTGACCCAAAAAGCAAAATATAAAAAAATAAAAATAAAATAAACATTCTATAGAAGAAACGAAACACTTGATTAATTTTTATTTGGGGGAACAACACTGACTGTGCTCAGGCCTTAATGCCCTGCTTGGTGCTTGAGAGGACTGGGCAGTGTGGGGATCAAGCCCTGACCACCCCACTGAAGCAGGTGCACTGGTCCTTTGAGCTGCTCTCGTGGTCCCGGGAGGAAATTTCCCTTATAAGTCCCAAGTCTGCAGTTGAGGAAGGAGGGATACATTGTGCTTTTGGGGGTTCAGGCTGCCTCTGGGAAGGTGAGCAGCAGAGCCCACCTGACCTTCCCTGGGCTGGCTCTGATGCCCCAGCCTCGTGCCCTCCACCTTCTTCCAGGAAGCCATCACGTCAGGCCACAGATGTTAGAGGGCTGTCCACCACCAGGGGCGTCCCTCAAGCCTGTGGGTTAGTATTGAGGGGCTGAAGTGATAGCACAGCGGGCAGGGCATTTGCTTTGCACGCGGCTGACCCGGGTTTGATTCCCAGCATCTCATATGGTCCCCTGAGCACCACCAGGAGTAATTCCTGAGTGCATGAGCCAGGAGTAACCCCTGTGCATCGCCAGGTGTGACCCAAAAAGCAAAAAAAAAAAGTAAGCATTGAGTCTGTGACAGAAGCTGAGTTATTTCCTTGGGAAATGGCACTTGTAATTGAGTCTGTGACTTGAAGTTGAGTGTCTCCTTGGAAAGAGCATTGTGTGGTTAAGGTGCCATGACACCAGCTTCCGGTCAGACACAGGAGGCCACTTCAGACCTCCAGAGCACATGTAGCGTAGCCTGGGCACATACCTCTGGGGACCGTGACCTGGGCCTTGGGGACCCATGGTCAGCTGGGGTATGGACCCCAAGCCACTTGGCATATAGCATTAGACTCATGTGGGCCCAGTTTCAGCCCAGGGTTTGTGAGGTCCATTTGTGGCTAGCTAGGCCTGGTCAGCAGTGGTCTGAGCTCTTGACCTTCTGCCATGAGTCACCTTCCCAGCGGGGCCAGGAAACACTCCATTATTCACTCCATTATTCCCCCAGGGTTCTGGTTCAGGGCCTAGCCTTCCTTCGGGCCTGGAAAGCCTCATTTTGTTCCTTCCCCAGAGGCCCTCTGGCTAAACCCCAAAACCAACAGCCTGGGCTGCTGAGGAATTAGTGTTAAATTGAGGGGCAAGGAAAGGTGGTATTTTGATCCCAAGAAACCACCAAATGTGGTTTGGTTTACTTCCCTGTAACCCAACCCGGGCCCATTTTATGAGACCAGTGATCCCAGCACAGGGGCTAATGCCGCCCTGGCATGCTGGTTACTGATCACAGAATCGCGCTTATTCTAGGGGTGGGGAGGCTGCTTTGGGACCTCACCCAGGGAAAGGTCTCAAGGAAATAACCTTTCATAGTCAAGGAAGGGGAGCTGTGGGCCCTGGTAATGATCAGCTACTATGTTTTTTTAAAAAAAAAATAAAAATTAAAAAAAAACCTGGGTGAGTAGAAGGTTTCAGAATCAGAAGGATTTGTCCTAAGGGCCAGCCCTCTCACTTAGAGGGAAGGAGACCAGCCGTAGAAGGGGCAGGCCTCGTTTTGTTCACTGCATATACTGGTTGCTGATCAGTGATTGGGGTCTACAGGATGATGGGGCTGGGCAGAAGACCAGGCCTCATACTCACCCCACAAATCCTTTACTGGACATCTCCTGAGTGCTGGGTCTCACCTCGGTGCTAGAAACACAGCCATCAGCCAAATGGCTGGACATCCTTGGCTGTTGACAGCTGGAACTTATGTTCCTGGGCCTGGAGGAGGAGGAGGAACCATATTAGTGATCTGTGGTCTGTCATAGGGAAGAAATGCTGTGGGGAGATGCAGAATTGAGCACCTGAAGGAGTGTTGCTTTACTTTAAAAGGGTCTGAGGGACGAAACCATGCAGTATCCTGGGGCAGGGGCAGTGGGAATTACCCATCCAGGTGGCTGAAACAGCAGGTGCAAAGGCCCTGGGGCAGGAGTTTGGGTATTCCTAGTGGAGGGAATGCCAGCAGCGGGCCAGTGTAGCAGAGTGGGGGATTAGAGTCTTACCTGTGTGAGCTTCTGGAGACTTGGAGCAGAAGAGGAGCCTGAACTGTTCCCCCTCACCACAGCTGCCTGGCCGGCCTACATTTCTTTCCATGTCTTTCTGCAGCAGAAAATTCTCTCCTATGTCCCTCTGTGCTTACCCCATCTGCGGTCTAGAAGTTCATCATTTTCATTGTCTGACTGAACTTTCCTGTTTTTGTCCAGATGGTCCTTATTTAGCACAGGTGGGACAGAAGAATAACATTTATTGATCCCTCTCTCCCATACTATGCTGTAATTTCTTCCTCCTTCTTCTCCTCCTCCTCTTTCTCCTCCTTCTCCTTCCTTCTCCTCCTCCACTTCCCCCTCCTCCTCCTCCTCTTCCTCTTCCTCTTCCTCCTCCTCCTCCTATTCCTCCTCTTCCTCCACTTCCCCCTCCTCTTCCTCCTCCTCCTCCTCTTCCTCCTCTTCCTCCACTTCCCCCTCCTCCTCTTCCTCTTCTTCTCTTCCTCCTCCTCATCTTCTTCCTCCTCCTCCTCCTCCTCTTCCTCCTCTTCCTCCTCCTCCTCCTCCTTCTTGTCTGAGGGGTGGGTGCACTTGCTCCTGATTCTGTGCTACAGGATCACTCCTGACAATGCTCAGGGAACCATTTGTGGTACCAGGGATTGAACCAGGGTTTGCCATATGCAAGGCAAATGCCCTGTACTATCTCTGCAGTGCAAATTGAAGCAAACATGAGTAGTACACATGTGCGGTGGGTGCCCATGTACGGACAGGGAGGTGTGGACAGGGCCCGAATGTCGCTGTCAGGCCATGAATCTCGTTGCCCACCCCCCAACCCCTGGGAGGATCATTTGTGTGGTTGGGGGTCTCATACGTGTGTCTGAGGGCAGGCAGGGAGCACGGCCGGGGCCTCCTTGGCACTCGGTGACCAGAGCTGGTGGCCCATTACCCCCCAGCTCTGCTGCCAGTGGGTCTCAAAGACCAGCGTGAGGAGAGGGTCAGGGCAGGACGGATGACGTGCCAAGGCCAGGTTGTAGAAACGGCAGTCAAGCAGCTCTGGGCATCAGTCAGCATGGGCAGGACGTTGAGGGGACAGAGTCCCATTGGGGACCTTCTCTGTCTTCCATTCCAAGGAGGAAGTGGCCAGAGGAGTCAGGCAGCAGCGTCACCCAGAGGGACAGTCGGCCCCGCACAGCCCTGGCCAGCAGTCATGACGGAGGCAGCAGAAGCTTGTTCATTGTTTGTTTCAGTGTCCCCACAGG